TGTTGTAGGTTTAGTAACACTTTAAGGATTCTCAGAGTCACTTATGAAAGGGTTGAATGCAGAAGACCCATCTGCTATTATGCAGTGCAGTTTGAAGCAGGTACACAAGTGGAGCTCCTGTACACATTATTAATCACTCACTAAGAATTGGAGAGTAAAATATAACTGTGGAAATAAAACTAAATGGCAGTATTGTGCACCTGTATAGGAATGGGCGTAGATCTATATGTTAAAAATTCATGTGTAAGCTCACGCAGAATCCATTATATCGCAAAAATGAATCAATATTAAAAGAATAGTGCTTATTTTGGAGAATTTGTAGATGGTGCAGTTTCTGGTTCCTTGACTGCTGGACTAGCACAAGGTTCCTGGTCTCTGGGGCATTTGAAATATGTAATGAGACTTGCCATTAAGAATACTTTCCTTCCCTGTCTTTATTTCAGCACATGTGCCCAAAGAAGGCCATTTTCTCAATGGCAAGTACCCATTTCTCAATATAGGATCTACTTTTGTTGACTCGCCTTTAAAAGATGTAGACATAAGGGCTATTGTACTGATCAGACTGATCTTGGCTTTACAAACTGTGCAGGGGCGGACTGACCATTCGAGCACTCGGGCACTGCCCGAGGGCAGGGGTCATTAGGGGGCCCCATGAAATGCCCTCTGGTACCTTTTTATAGGCTTTTTTGGGTGTGCTTTGAGTTTGGGCAAGGACACAGGGGCCCCATGATCCCCTATTGCCCGGGGTCCCCATGAGTTGTTAGTCCGCCCCTGAACTGGTGATCCACTAACCTACAACAAACAAGCAAGACCGGACTTTCCTACATCAGTGACTGCCTAGCAGTAAAGCAAGGATCAACTTGAGTGGTTCACATATAGATTTCATTTGATCCCTTCAATATCACACAACTGCACAACCAAAAACTGGTCATTTAACTAATGTTCACATTGATGGCAAAAAGTGAATGTAGATATTGAATAATTTTCTATACAATCACAAATTTCGATTTTGATGTCGCAGATACTGCATCAGGAACTGATTGGATGATTATTAATTACCATCAGTTCTTAATGCATTGCCTCCAGCATCTAATCAAGCAACACACCATTCAGTGAACAAACTGCTTTCATTGTGTTTTGGACAATGAGGAAGAGGGTTTCCCTTCTCTATTTGGCCCTCGGATGGGACTTCTTTGATGTGGGGCCAATGGCTCTCTGTGGAATATACATTCAGTGACTGTCACTTGCTATGTGACTTTTTCTTCATTCGTTTGTAAGTTTAATCTTGTACATTTTTTAATAAAATTGTATCTGGAATAATACGCTAAGCCGCTGCACTCTTGTTTTATTTTCTCTGTTTTGGACAATGGCTTAAAAGTGAGAGCTTATTTTCTCTAAGGTAATAAATATCAAGAAAATGAAAAAAATTTGATTCTGTCACTTTGCCCATTCAGCAAAAAAAGTAAAAGAAGAAATCCTTAGATGTGCAATTGATCAATGTGATGAAATATACATAGATATGCTTATAATTTGATATAAAAAGTAGTAACATACATTTATAATACCTATAACAATTTTATGAATATGCTAATTTGACTTTTATTTCTTGATAATTGTCAGAATTCTAATAAACATTAATGAAATAAAAGGGGCCCTGAGTATAAGTGGTTTAAAGAAGTAATATTAAAGATAAACACTTTTGTTTTAAAGCTGGCTGTATATATTTGAGAGTCCACAATGCAGGCATGACCTAGCTGCCCTATGATTTCCTATTAATACAAGGTCTGTTTGGAAAGTATCCAGCCACGTAATATGAAAAATAGAGACATTTATTGGAGAAGATATAAGAAACATTGTACATAGGACAAATTCAAAAGTAGGTACCTTGGGACCTCACAAAAAATCTCCAACACAGTAGTTTTTGGATTCCCCAGTTCAACTTCTAGTTCTCGAACTGTCAATCGCCGATCTTTGTTGATTGCAGTCCATACACATTCAACATTCTCAGGTGTTCTGTTTGCTTCAGGCCTTCCAGAACATGGATCACGTTCTATAGATTTCAACATATTCTCAACCATTGTTGAAGCGTTTGTGCCACACTTTTATGTGCACTGTTATCATTGCATCTCCCCTGAAAGCCTTCTGAATCATCTGAAAAGTTTACACAGAGGAATGTTCAATCTTATAGCAAAATTTGATGTAAATTTGTTGCTCTACTTGCACAGTCATTTTGAATGTGATGACCACACAGTGCGCATGCTTACTCAATGGCGTCTAGTGCCCTCCACTGACTAGTCGTCATTGTTCACGCATGCGCATTCCAGTCCACTCTCCTTGGCTGTCTGGTTAGATTGGTGTCACGTAAACCTTTCTCATTATATTAACAATGGCTGGATGTTTTCCCAACAGGCCTAGTACAGATTTTCACATAATGCAATGGATTATGCCTTTGAGCCCACATGGAAGAAAAATATATTTGAAATATATTTTTTAAATATTCTTCCCAACATCTTTGACATATATTTGAAATACTACAATTTTGGTCATGTTCAATATATTTCAATACATATATATATATATATATATATATATATATATATATATATATATATATATTGTATGTTGAAATGCATTTGTATTACAGAATATATGAAAAATATTTTTAAAAATACAATTTCAAATATACTGTATGTCTTTAAAAATACATTTAATCTACATTCTTGGAACGCATTTACAAATATATGTAAAAATATATGTTAAAATTACTATTTTGTATGTTAAAAAAATATATATTTCAAAAAATATTTTTCATTTACTTTGTAATATATAAAAAACACATTTCAACATGCAGTATATATATATTTATATTTATTGAAATATATTTTTAAATATATTGAATATAGCCAAAATTATAGTATTTCAAATAGATGTCAATATATTTGGGAAGAATATTTTTAAAATATATTTCAAATATACGGTATATTTCTTCCATATGGGATGTAAGGCTGGAGAGCATAGCCTGATAACTCTAACTTATCTAAAGCTCACTAGCATTCACCAAACAGAGATTCAGAACTGCTATTTTGCAATACAGGGTTTTTCTAAAGTCTGTGCACATAGGAAATATCACTATATACAGTATGTATATATATGTGTATAATATATCACTATATAAACTGACCTTAACCCCCTTGACTTCTTTTTTTGGGGTGCATTAAAAGAGAAGGTGTACTCAATGAAAATCACAGATATGAATCATCTGAAGGAATGCATCATGAACAAATGTGTTCAAATTGACGGAAATGTGGAGTTACTTCATTTGGTTCATGTGAATCTTTCAAAGCGCATGGAACTTTCCATCACAAACGGTGGAAATCACATTGAATATGTCATTGTTTAACCAGTTGCCGCTCGGCCTATAGCCAGATGGTGGCCGGGCGAACAGCTCGTCCCTCCGGGTGGACGCCATATGGCATCCTTTCAGGAACGTGCATTGCGCATGCCCACAGGGCCGCGCTGCGGTGCAATCTGTCACCGGCCGTGTACCTCGGACACAGCCGATGACAGATCTGTGTACCGGCCCCGTTGCCAGTACCATGTGACCTGCTGTGACCAATCACAGCAGGTCACATGACAGTTGCATACAATGGATGGCTTCCTTTCATGCCATCCATAGTATACAAGTGTGTCTAGCTGTGAATGGTCACAGCGATCACATGCACAAGTTGGCCACAGCTAAGCACAAAAAAAAAAACCCTGAATGAATCGATTTCATTCAGGTAAATGCTTGCTCATAGCAAAGTAATTCTTTGCTATGAGCAAATTGTGTAAAAAAAAAATACTGATCACTTCCCCAAAGTAGTACAATGTTACTATGGTAACATTATACTACTTTGGTCATAATGAAATATGAAAAAAGAATTAAAAAAAAAGTGAAAAAAAAAATAAAAAAATTAAAAATAATAAAAAAAAAAAAAAAATTATTAATTTTTTTTTCGTACTGTCACCAGTCAGTGTCCCTGATCACCGCCATGCCAGTTATATGATGATGCTGTACTGCACTAGAGACAGTATGTAAAAAAAAAATAGTGAAAAAATTTTTTTAATTTCTTCATTTTCCGAAAAATTATGACGAACAAATTACAACTTCAAAAAACCCACCATGCCTGTTATGAAATACATTGGACTGTCTACTTTGCAAAAAGGGGTAATTTGGGGGATATCTGTACTGTTCTGACATTCTTGGACCTCAAGAAATTAGATTGGCTGTCAGTACGTCAGGATTGATCAATTTTCAGATATATCCCATAGTTTGTGAACTCTATAACTTTCCTACAGACTAAATAATAAATACTAATTTGGGTTATTTTCACCAAAGAAATGTAGCAGAATACATCTTGGTGTAAATTTATGAAGAACAATTATTTATTTGCAAACTTTTATAACAGAAACAAAGAAAAACGTGTTTTTTTTTTCAAAATTTTCTTTTTTTGTTAATTTAGCAAAAAATAAAAACTCCAGTGGTGATTAAATACCACCAAAAGAAAGCTCTAGTTGTGTGAAGAAAATGATAAAAGTTTAGTTTGGGTACAGTGTTGTATGACCGTGCAATTATTCAAAGTGTGAGAGCGCTGAAACCCGAAAATTGGCCTGGGCAGGAAGGGGGTAAAAGTGCCCTGTATGGAAGTGTTTAATATTCCAATGAAATCAAATTTTGTTGAAATATTTATTGAAATTTATTGAAAATATACATTTTGTCTATGTGTCCAGATTTTAGGAACACCCTGTATATCAGTCAGCTAATTGAATATTGAACTGTCTGCTGATTTAAAGGCATCTTATGTCTATAATCCAGCAGTATACATTTACTTATTAATAAACTTATGAGTTCATTGATTTATATGAGTCAACATGTTTACAGCCAAGTACCTTATAATCCATATTACATAATGGAGGTTATTTACTGAAGTTGGCGAGTACAAAATCTGGTGCAGGTCTGCATAGGAACCAATCAGCTTTCAGGTTTTATTGCCAAAGCTTAACTGAAGAAGCTGAAGTTAGAAGCTGATTGGCTAACATGCACAGCTGCACCAGATTCTAATTGCACCAGTTTTAGTCAATCTCCCCCAATGTCTGCTAATTGTGGTTGTATACAATATAAAGACAGAAAAGGCTTTTTTTACTGATCGAAACTTACTGAAATGTATTTTTAATCTGAAGAAAAACCAAATACACCTGAATTGTTCTACAGCAAAATGTTAAATTCTTTCCACAGAGAGAGGCAATCATTTACAGTACATCAATCAGCTCATTAACTTTTACAGAAGAGCTGAAAGTCTTTGCCGTTACCTGAGATCAGTTGTGGTGACATGCACTGATTATTTGGACAGGTTCTGCTGTAGATGTTCTTAGAACTGAAAAGGTTTCCATCTCTGCACTTCCCTTGACAACTAGTATTTCTCAAATAGGATTATTGTGGATAATGGAAACAGCAAACATCATTCACCTCTCCCATGGAAGGATGCCAAAAAACAGACAATTTCCCTCTGTGATTAAGTGGAAATAGTTAAATTCTTTCCTGGATAACCTCTATAGGTCATCCCAAAGCAAGATAATTTACAGGGAAATAAAAAGAACTACTTCTAGTGTTTCATATGTTTTATGTATCACCACAATGTAACATGGGAAGATACGTTTGCATAATGTAATTTGTAAAAAAAAATTTAAAAAAGAAAGAAAGGTCAGAAGGGACTTGTTCAGGGTCACATCTTACACAGTGCTAAGGATTCCCTCTACAGCCACATAACAGAGCTATGGCTTGGTGATAGGCTGCTCAAAAAAACAGTGGTAAATTGTGGGAGACAGGGGAGCGTTCTACATGATTTTCCATATCTGGAAGTACATTGTTCTTAAGGATCTGGTGAGAGTGGGGCATTGGAGTGGCATGTAAAAGTTAACCACTTGCCGCCCTGCAACTGTAGAAATACGGCGGCAGGGCGGCACGGGCAGGCAAAACCACGTTTTAAAACGTGTGTTTTTATAAACAGATAGGGGGCACTTGCGAGGCGCGCCGCCACCCTATCTGTCCCGCCGATCACCGCCACAGATGTCAGTCGCTGGGTCACAGCCGGTCCTTACCGGCTGTTTCCCAGCGATCAGCGGCAAACAGTGATAGACAGCACAGCTGCAGTAGCAGTGCTGTCTGTCACTTCCCTGACAGCTCGAGGACGAGCTGATCGAGAAAGAAGAGTTTTCTCTCTCGATCAGCGTTGTCCCGTGCAGCACACACCCCCGCCCCCTAGTAAAACACTCCCCCTCACACAGATAACCATTCCCTGCAAAATAAAGTTAACCCCTTCCTCCCCAGTGCCATTAGTACAGTGTCAGTGTTGTTTTTTTGCACTGATCACTGTATTAGTGTTTTTGGGGATGTCAGTGACCCCAAGTCAGTACCCCCCAATGTCAGAATGTCCGCCGCAGTCCCGCCATAAGTCGCTGGTTGCTGCCATAAGTCACTGATCGCCGCCATAATTTGCTGATCGCCGCCATTATTAGTATTAAAAAAACCTAAAATTCCCAGTATCTTTACCACCATTTGTAAACGCTATAACTTTCAAGTAAACCAATTAATTTACACGTATTGGATTTTTCTTTTCAGCAAAGACATGTCGCAGAATGCATTTTGGCAGAAATTTATGACTAAATTTGATTTTTGCATTTTTTTTACTGGACATGTTTTTTAGCAAAAAGTCCAAAATATTGTTTTTTTTTCCTCAAAATTGTCAGCCTTTTTTTTTATAGCGCAAAAAATAAAAACCGCACAGGCAATCAAATACCACCAAAAGAAAGCTCAATTTGTGGGGAAAAAAAGGATGTAAATTTCATTTATGTACCTTTTTGCATGACCGCGCAATTGTCCGTTAAACTAGCGCAGCGCTGTATAGCAAAAAATGGTGTAAATTGCAGTATTTATACCATAGTTTGTAGACGCTATAACTTCCACACAAAGCAATCAATATACACTCATTGGGATTTTTTTTACCAAAAACATGTAGCAGAATACATTTTGGCCTAAATTTATAACCAACTTTGAGTTTACTATATATTTTTTATAGCTGAAAGTAAAAAATTTCGTTTTTCTTCAAAATTTTTGGCTTTTTTTTGTTTATAGCGTGAAAAATAAAAAGCGCACAGATGATCAATACCACCGAAAGAAAGCTCTATTTGTGTGAAAAAAAGGACATAAATTTCGTTTGGGTGCAGCATTGCTTGACCACGCAATTATCAGTTGAATTAGTGCAGCGCCGAGTAGCAAAAAGAGGCCTGGTCATTAAGGGGGGTAAATCCTCTGGAGCTCAAGTGGTTAAGTACAAGCACTGGAAGGTTTCTACAATCAAGACAACCTCAATGGGAAAAGTACAGTTCACTTTAAGCTCACATTCAGTGGCATTCAGTTATAAATCAACTTGTAAGATAAAGTTAATACAAAGTTTCCATTTCACATGTACTATGCATCCTGTGCATCCTCTGGAGGCAAGAATCTTAAGGTTTGCATCAGCAATAGATATCCCCATTTACTATGTAGGAGATAATGTTTTAGGTACAAAAGGGCAGGGCTCACTTGTTAATGTAGTTGAGTGTTTTTTTAAGCATCTTAGAATATGACTCAGTTAGTTGAATCAAGGGTTCAGAAAAATAAGATAATGGACTACCTCAGATAATGGACTACCTCTTCCCTCAATTTTAATAAAAATGAGCAAACTTTTAAAAATCTGTTCATCCAGTGTTTTGTCCAATTCGGACCTTTGGTGGCTTTTCACGTGCCAATAGATCTTAACTCCACTAAATCTGTACTTGGATCAAGACAATTAAGCCTTTGCTTTCACATTTTGCACAACATGATGGATGGGTCTTCTTTGAATGTGGGAAAAAATCTTAAAGATGGAAAATCCTGCCCTGCTAGAACTTTGAAGTTCACATCTTGTTTGAAGTCCAGCTTTGAAATGAGAAGTAAGAGCATCAAAACCAGTTATTGTTTATGGTAGCTCATCTTTAACAATAACTTCCTCCCCTGGTGTTTTCTTTTTTACCCTGAAATGGCTTGTCCTATTCCCCTTAACATCTTAACCATTATAATTTTAGTCTTTTTGGCCAGTTTTCTCCCCCTATTTTTGGTTTGCCACTGGCACAATATTCACACTACAACCAATAACAACTGTTTAACTTTCAACGTTTTCATGAATACCCTCACAAAGCAACTTTGTGAGATCTAGATTTTACACTATTCTGCACATCTGAGTTTTCTGTAATTCAATCTTAAAGTTGGCTTGAATGTCTAGAAAAGGTAATTGCACCCAAGCAATGCCCTGAAAAATGTACCTTCTGTCTTGAAATCCTTCTGAAACGTAGTGGTGCACTTAGGGTTCTGTTTTGAGCTTCAGAACTTCATTGTGAGAGCACAGCTGTCTCTAACAGCTAGCCTCAAAAGGCATGTAACTAGATTAGGAGATATCAGTACTGTGCTGCTCAGTATTCTACATGTTGTGGATTTGTGATTTCTGCAAATCTTCTGTCATCCAGTCGTCAGGGGGGCAGCTTTGACATGAGGAAGTGAAGCCCTGCCTCAACCAAGATGGCCACCTCTGCATATAGACACTGGGCAGATCAGCTGCATGGCACCTACATGCAATATTTGTGACTAGTCTTTTGCCTACAACTTCCTTTTCTGGGGCACAGCTTTTACAGTTCATTTCTTTTGTAAGCTTTCCAACTTTTACTGAGTCAGAAGCCTAATATTCCCCCCTGCAGGGTGGCATAATAATAGTAAAAATGCTTAGGCATGTATTCCAGGCTCTAGATCATGTCAACCATGTGTACTTAATATCTTTGCCTTACTCTTTTTTATTTAAAGCTTAACTCCAGACATAAATAAAAGATGCAAATTAATGCAGCTCTGTAATTAATACCTACTTTAACCACTTCCCAGGCCCTTTAGGAGAGTCTAAATTCTGGAAGGAGGAGACAGACATGCTGGTCAAGTGACCACTGTGATTGGCAGTCACATTGGTCACATGATCGGAAAGCTCCCAATCGCAAGTAGGCTGGGAGTGCGAAGGGTGCATGGTCTCCGCACATTGGGACGCATATGAGCAACCTTTCTGCATTAACCTCCCTGGCGGTATTCCCAAGTGTAGCTCGGGGTAAAGTTTCAATACCAAAAGCGGTAACCCCGAGCTACACTCGGGCTTACCATGCAGCGTTGCTCAGGGATTCCCTGCAGCGCTTACCTTGTCCTTCTCTCCTGCGATGTGTCCCCTGCAGCGTCCCTGGCCATCTCCTCCGGCCAATGCCGGCATCCGGCTTCCATGTTCCGGTCCCTGTGATGCCGGGACGTACAGGCGCCGGAATCGGTGGCAAATTTGAAAGTTTTAAAAAACTTCATTTTTTTTTTAAACGATTATTACATAGCAAAACATTGCTGTTTCAAAGCATTTCACATACATTTTGTCCCGAGTGCTTTGTCCTGTGCCCTGCCTGCATTTTGACTGTTCTTTCTGCCTGGAAACTGGGAAAAGTCCATGGCGTCCAAAAAGCATCCCTTTAGGTCAAAATCGGGTTTAGACCAGCTAGAGAACAGCGATAGTAAATCAGAACCACTTGCAGAATTGAGTGATAATGATTTGTGGGGAAATTTGTCATCAGACACTAAAAAGGATTCTGCGACTTTGCTCAGCAATGTGCGAACTTGGCGCTATATTTCAAATTTCAGTGTTTTTGGTTTGATTATATTATTGAAATAAATTTATTATTATATTATTATTTTTTATGATTATTTATTAAATTATAATTTATGATTTCGTGTTTCAAGTTTTATCAGATCCGGAATGTTTACTAGACTCTTGTTTGGACAGATTTCAGTGAGTTATTCCTAAAAATGACAGGCCTACAATAAAAAAAACTACATATTTCCATGCAAAATAATGGTACCGCTTTCAGCACCAAAAATCTGAAATAATCATACCTCCAGGGAGGTTAAAGCCCACATGCCAAGGGGCTGGATACGGCCATTAATGTACTCAGTGTAAGTACTTGAATCAGACCTGACATCAGCCTCTTATGGTCTCTGTACAGCA